TGTTCTGCATCTTTTTGATGTTGTTTGTTGTTGGTCTGTGTTTTGTTTTCTTCAATGATTAAATATGATTTAATGTGATGTGGTATAAATTTTGTAAATTGCAAGAAATCCTATGTTTTTGTTTTTCATTCTCTTTCATGGCTTCCCTTTGTAAGAAACAGACAGTGATCGAAAAAGGGGGGACGGACAACTGAGAATAGGGGACCAATGAAATATGTCTGGAAAATAACAAGCATAACGGACATTTTTAAAATAGCTTAATAAGGAAATTGCATATCAGACAGTCTGCAAAATTATTGCATTTCGCAACGCGCGTAAGTGCGAAAATAAAGGAATTGGAGGTCAGACAAATTAGGGCGGGAAAATGTTCTGTTCTTTCTCTAATTCCTACCTTTCTAGTTTATCAATTAATAGTCTATTGCATTGCACGAACAATTTGGGAATTTGAGGTAGTTTCCGCATTAAAAGGTAATAACAATAATATATCTCCTCCATTACAAGTAAGTCACAAATTGATAACAAAAAATATACATATATTTTTCAATTTTATTTCAAAAACTATATTGGAAGGAATTCCTCAATAAAAGCCGTCGGAGTATGGTAACATCCAACAGCTCATTGTACACATTTTATTTCAACCATTGATTCTACTTTTTTAAAGGTTTTTTACGAATCATAAGAACAGTGCGAATCATAAGAACAGTGCGAATCATAAGAACAGTGCATAACAGTGCTGAAAGTCAAGAATAATAACAAGTTAAAAAAGCAGTGTGTTCGGCCGGGCCGAACTTAAATACTCTCCAGCATTTGGAAAAAAATTCGAAATTAAAAAAAACCTTAAAAAATTCTTGTTAAATCTTAAAAATACCGAATATAGCTGTTACATTGGGGTATATACGAAGAAGTTCACTTTCTCGTTAAATAAGTTTCTGTCATAAACTGTAGTTTCCATTACAAACTCTAAATACGAAATTTGAAACAACTCTGGTGAATAATGTCGCTAAAATCATCAAAATACCGAATATTGTGAAGTATCGTTATATGGAAACTATACGAAGACGTGGGCCTGCATAAGCAATTTTTTTGCGGATGCTTCATGGTATTTCCGTTCTATCCGATCTTGCGTCCTTCAACCACAACTTGCGTCCTTCAAAAATATTCTTTGAAAAATCCACGTTTGTGCCTCAGAGAGTCCTTCAAAGATATTCTTTGAAAAATCCACGCTTGTGCCTCAGAGAGTCCTTCAAAAATATTCTTTGAATAATCCACGCTTGTGGATCAGAGAGTCCTTCAAAAATATTCTTTGAAAAATCCACGCTTGTGCCTGAGAGACTCCTTCAAAAATATTCTTTAAAAGGTCCACGCTTGCGGATCAGTGAGTCCTTCAAAAATGTTCTTTAAAAGGACCACGCTTGCGGATCAGTGAGTCCTTCAAAAATATTCTTTTAAAAATCCAGTCCTTCAAAAAATATGATTTTCAAATCCACGCTGGTGGATCAGGGAGTCCTTAAAAAATGTTTCCTTTAAAAATCAAAGCTTGTGGATCAGAGATTCTTCAAAAATCCACGAATGTGGGTCAGAGACATATTCAAAAATATTCTCTTAAAATTCCACGCATGTGGCTCAGAGATTCCTTCAAAAATATTCTTTGAAAAATCCACGCATGTGGCTCAGAGATTCCTTCAAAAATATTCTTTGAAAAATCAATGCTTGTGCCTCAGAGAGTCCTCCAAAAATATTCTTTGAAAAATCCACGCTTGTGCCTCAGAGAGTCCTTCAAAAATATTCTTTGAAAAATCCACGCTTGTGCCTCAGAGAGTCCTTCAAAAATATTCTTTTTCATTAATCCACGCTTGTAGATCAGAGAGTCCTTCAAAAAATATAATTTTGAAAATCCACGCTTGTGTGAGAGTCCTTCAAAAAATATTCTTTTAAAAATCCACGCTTGTGCCTCAGAGAGTCCTTCAAAAATATTCTTTTTCATTAATCCACGCTTGTGGATCAGAGAGTCCTTCAAAAATATTCTTTTTCATGAATCCACGCTTGTGGATCAGAGAGTCCTTCAAAAATATTCTTTGAAAAATCCACGCTTGTGGATCAGAGAGTCCTTCAAAAATATTCTTATAAAAATCCACGCTTGTGGATGAGTGGGTCCTTCAAAAAATATAATTTAAAAAATCCACGCTTGTGAATCAGAGAGTCCTTCAAAAAAATTTTCCTTTAAAAATCAAAGCTTGTGGATCAGAGATTCTTCAAAAATCCACGATTGTGGGTCAGAGACATATTCAAAAATGTTCTTTTAAAAATCCACGCATGTCGCTCAGGGAATCCTTCATAAATATTCTTTAAAAATCCACTTTTTTTAAATTCAAGTTTTAACTCAGATGGATGTTTTTTAAAAATGTTCTTTCTTGGGTGGCAGAAAACCTTTACAAGCTAATCCAACATTCGAGGTAAGACTGAACTTCTAACTAGTAATTGATCAATGAAATCTTTGACTATTTAGTGGTTGGGAAGCAATATATCAGGATGTCGGCTCTGAAATAATTGGAAGAAAGTAGGGGTGTACTAGAACGTCTTCTGTCGTAAAGAGGATACAGACTGTGAAGTTCTTATGATATCCAATCACTTTCCTACTCGTAGTTCTCGGTCGCAGAACCTGTGGTCTTCGCTATGGAATGGGTGAATATTTAAGTCTACGTAAGACCATCTTCTCCCAATATATTTTTACTATCCTAATCCTATCCTAATCCGGATATAGTTGTTATGATAAAATAACGGGAGCCTTAACCTCTCCTAGGAATGTATATTTTACAACTCTGTGAAGCTTACCTTTCCATAACGACGCAGAAACTCATTTCAATTTTGAATAACAAACAGGCTACCGTCAAATCTTTTATTTCGTCCTAAAATATTAGTTGGCGCCCAATGATAGAAAATTAATTTGTTTGAGGATCATACATAAAAGTCAATTTCCAAAGTTCAACTACTTATAATTATAATATAATTATAATATAATTGGTCAATATAAGTTTCGAAACAAACCGTTTTTGTCATATTATGACTATTAATCATGGAAAAGCGATATGCTGTAAGTGGTAAAAAAAAAGGATGTAAAATATGATCCTATAACTATTCCTGATTATTCAAAATTTGTCTTAAATTTTGATATATTTGAGGGCAAAATTGTTTACTAATTAGAAAGTTATCTCTTAATTAGAACCTTCGACAGCAAAGGGTAACTGCCGCCAATTAATTTTAAGTAAAAATTGAAAATTTTAACTATCAGGTACGAGGAATTTTTATATATTTGATTTCTAGCTTTTTTAATTGAAATCTTTATTATCTTCAACAATAATTAATGGGGTCGTCCAAAGCTTAATTTGCTTCAAAAGTTTTACTTGGGCGCCAATATAGTAACCAGACATACAACTTTTAAATGTAAATTGTAATCAATTCCAATTTTTCAAGAAAAAATCATAGAAGTTGATTGGCAACTCTAGGAGTCACATGTTTTGTAGTCCTCAAACTTAGTGTGTTACAATTTCGTCATACAGTGACAGCAAAGTTCAAATTTTGTTCCAGTTCACATTTCCATTTAGGTCATTTATCTCTGCCAGTCCCTTATCTTTAACACTCATAGGCTCAGAGCAATAAAATTAAAATAGTTTTCTGTCTTCACTTGTTTAGCAGACGCATGTCGTGCATCTCTAATCTCTCTTTCTCTCGTTCATTATAAATAGCGACGACTCTAATTTGTAAATTCTTTAAAAGTTCAACGCAAAAGGTTATCATCGTCGACATTTGCAAAACAACGCAACGCAGCACAACTCGAATCGCTGGCCGTTTAACCAACAACCACAGCCTATGTTTTCGCTGTCCGCCGTCCGTCCGGGCAATGAACAATCAATTCTTTGAAGTGTCGAGGAATTTTTATAAACATTTCAAAGATGCCGCCTTTCAAATAAATAAGAAACTGAACTAAAAAAAGAGAAATAAATACATTTTTTTATTTCTGTGTTATCAGCCAGCAGATGTACAACCCTACTTGTCTGCGTGTTTGTGTGTCGAAGCGAGTTCAGATGCAAAGCGAGTGATTTTCTTTGTGCTAAAAAGAGAATAAATTATTTTAAGTTTTCCTTTTTCAATTTGAAATGCAAAACAAGAGCAAATAAGTGTAACAGCGATTAAAGGCTGTTTTGAAATACAATCTGAATAGCAGGGAGGCAGTCAGCCAGACAAACGGTCAATAGCCTCCGGGGGTAAGTTATCTAATAAGGATAATTATGTCAAATGGAAATTATGCAAGCGTTAAGTCAGCCGTAAATTCAAAGACAAAGTTGTGATACCTAAAAACAAATTATATTTTTTTATAAATAAACAACATTTTCCATAGAAAATTTGTTCGATAATAAAATTTTCAAAAGAAAGGGTTTTCAATAACAATATTTTCTATAGAAAAGTTGTTCTATAACAAAATTTTCTGTAGGAAGGTTGTTCGATAACAACATTTTATATAGAAAAGTTGTTCGATAACAACATTTTATATAGAAAAGTTGTTCGATAACAACATTTTCTATAGGAGAGTTGTTCGATAACAACATTTTCTATAGAACAGTTGTTCAATAATAAAATTTTCTATAGAAAAGTTGTTCGATAACAACATTTTCTATAGAAAAGTTGTTCGATAACAACATTTTCTATAGAAAAGTTGTTCGATAACAACATTTTCTATAGAAAAGTTGTTCGATAACAACATTTTTTATAGAAAAGTTGCTCGATAACAACATTCGATATAAAAAGTAGTTCGATAACAATATTCAATATAGAAATGTAGTTCGATAACAACATTTTCTGTAGCATGTTTGTGTTCAATATCAATATTTCCTATAGGTAGGTTGTTCGATAACAAACATTCTTTTGGAAAAAAATCGATACCAACCTTCCCTTTAGAAAGTGGTTCGAAAATAGATTTTATTAGAAAATTTTTAGGAACTTACCGTACGGTGGATGTTGCATATTCTGTTTAACATTCGGCGATCGAACCGAACCCACCGATGCCTCAACATCGATAGAATCATCCGAGTACATGTCATCCTCATCTTCATCGCCATCGTCTGCGTTATCCTCCCTCAAATGGTATTGATTGTCATTGGGATCTTCTTCGTCATCGGCATATTGAGCCTCAGCACTTTGTGGATATTTGGTGAGGGCCATTGATAATTTGTTGTTGTTATTGTTGTAATAGCTAGTTCCAACACTTGTGTAATATTGCTTGTTAATGTGTTTCCAATGTTGTTGTGATTCATTGGGTCGATGATTAGCGGACGTGCTTGTAAATCCGCTGCTACGACGTCGTTGTAATTGCTGTTGTTGTCTTTGGTTGTGGTGCTGTTGTTGTTGCTGCTGCTGTTGATACCGTAGCTGTTGTTGTTGTCGCAACAGTTGTTGCTGCTCATCATGATATTCATCGTCATTATCAATATGGCGAACGGAAGTGACTAAAGCAGGCATGAACAGCAAAAGCAGAAGTCCAGCAGCTATTAGTAGCTGGAATTGATAAATTCGTCGTTTGGCGGAAGAATTCTGCATTTTCTACGCAATGTTGTTGTTGACAGCAATTTGTACGCATTTGATTTGGATGGGTATGTCTGGGCGTTTGTGCGTGTATGCCCGTGTGTGTTTTGTACTTTGGAGTGTCGGACTCTTGGTGACGTTTAGAAAAAAGGTTTCACCCCAACAAGGCGAATAGTCAGCCAGCCAGCTACTTATTCCGGCTGGGCTATGTGTCAATCACCACCGGTTTGTTGCTGTCAATCGTATTGTTTTTTTTCGTGTTTTGTCAAAGTGTTCGTTTGACCTGGCCACCACTCAAAATTGGACTTTGCTTCCTCCGCTCCACAGCGATTATAATTTGTGGTTTCTTTGTTGAGAAGACCCCGCTTTTGAGTCCTGTAATGGAATTTGCATGGGGACCCTTGCTTATCATTCGCCTATTTGAATTTTAATGCATTTCCAGGGGCTTTGATAAAACGTGTTTTATGTAAAAACGAAAAACAAGAAAGAAAAAAAACTGAAAAACAACAACCAGAAAACCAAGGGATATCACTTGTTTTTCCCCAACAATTCCCGATTCGGATTGTTGTTCCGACTGTCGTTGAGTTCTTTTTGTGATTTCGACTCTCAGCTATTTTGCAAGTAAATGCGGTTTTAATTGCTTTTTATGCTGCTGTTCTTCATCATCATTGTCGTCTTTATTATCACCAGCAGCAGCCCGGCATCGCTTTGCCAGTAGCTTAATGTTGTAGCTTGAGGTTCGAGCGTAGTTGTTGTAATTTTGTTTTTGTTAATTAATCTTTATTACTTTTAATTGTCTCATTCATATTTCTTGCCTTTTGTGAAAATTTTCTCATTCGTTTTGTTGTTGTTGTTGTGGGTTGTTAGCTTTATGGCACTTGTTCCTTCCTCGTTTTTGCTGTGGGATTTGGGTTGGTGTTTTTTTTTTTGGTTCGTGTTTTTTTTATGGGACACACAGTTCTTACTTTCTAGCTTTGTGTTTGCTGCTTTTCTTGAAGTTGTCGGTACTTTAATTAAAATAAGAATTGTTGTTTTTTTGGGCAGAAAACTTTAAGAATTTTTTTAAAATTTGATGACGTATAAAATCTTTCAATTCTGAAAAGAAACAATAAAGATTTTAATTTTATTTTTTTAAGAAAATTATAGAAGTTGACAAGAATTTCTACGATATGTTATCGATATAAACAGATGCCTTGTTCCAAAAATTGCTCTGTTCCAGAACCTGCAAGAATCAACTATTTTTGCAATTTTTCTTCGATAACATAAAGGGAATGTCAATTATCATAGTAAAAAATTTCACATTGTTGTAGTTCCGGAACAGACCAAATGTAAGAATCTGCAAGTTTTGCAATTTTATCGTTTATTTTACATTCTTGCAGTTCGAGAAACAACCAAGAGTTTGTAATGTTGCGGGATTTCCAAGATTCTACTAGTTTTGCAATTTTTTCAATATTACAAAGGATAAATCGGTTATCGAAGTAAACATTTGATACGTTCCAGAAATGAAAATATGTAAAACTAAAATAACCGATTTTCCCTTTATGACATCGAAACCAGTAAGGAAAAGTCAAAAGTCGGGCGGGCCGACATCATGACACCCTACACCACTATGCATATTTATTAGACCTCCCGTAACAAAAGAATTTATTTGAAGTAGGTCATACAACCTAATATATAACTAATATATGGAAGGCATATTCAATTCTGATCGATCTTCAACATTTATACCCTCCACCATTTTTATACCCTCAATTATTCTATGGAGGGTATATTAACTTTGTCATTACCTTTGTAACTCCTCGAAATATTTATAATAGACCCTATATATATATATTTTGGATCAGCGTAATATTCTAAGACGATGTAGCGATGTCCGCCTGTCTGTCTGTCTTTCTGTCTGTGTGTCTTTCTGTCTGTCCATCTGTCTGTTGTAATCACGCTATCTTTCGAACGAATTAAGATAGAAGATTAAATATTGCATACATGCATAGTTTACCAGAAGGCAGGTTAAGTTCGTATATTCCCCATATAACGGTACCTCCCGATATTCGGTATTTTCATGATTTTGGCGACAATATTCACCGGAATTATTTCAAATTTCATATTTAAAGTTCGTAATGGGTTCTACAGCCTATGACAAAAATGTTTGTATGCAGGTCTAAGTCTTCGTATAGCCCCCATATAAAGGTACCTCCCGATAGTCGGTATTTTGATGATTCCAGCAACAGTATTTACCGGAACCGTTTGAAATTTCGTATTGGAAGATCTTAATGGGTACTACAAGCTATGGCAAAAAAAAAAAAAAAAAATCGTATGCAGGTCCACGTCTTCGTATGCCACTATATGACGGTACCTTCTGATAGTCGGTATTTTGATGATTTCAGCAACAGTATTCACCGGAATCGTTTGAAATTTCGTATTTAAGGTTCGTAATGGGTACTACAGCCTATGAGAAACAATTTTGTAGGCAGCACGTCTTCGTATAGTTTCCATATAACGGTTTTATTTTAAGTGGTAGTTTCGGATTTTTTTTGAAACGAACTTAGCTGTTTTTTGTTATTTGTTATCTTTTATACCAAATACCAATGTTATAGAGTGCATAATACCACTTCGAGAAGAATTATATTAAAAATATAGATATCGAAGCCGAGTTCCACCAAATGGAAACGTACTTCCCGAAATTCACTCCATTTGGGCTGATAAACAACCATTATTTTCACAATAAACCTGAAAACGGATTATGGATATGTATGGGAGCTATATCCAAATCTTAGCCGTTCACGATAAAATTTGGCAAAGGTATTTCCTAGCTCTATAAGATATCTGGTACCAAATATCATTCTTTTGGAGTGCATATTACGAATTTGAGGGACTTAAATACCAAATCGGATGAAACATATGTATGGGAGCAATAACTATATCTGAACAGATTTTCACCAAATATGATGTACTTGCTTCTAGACCGAATGTGGTCGGATGTGCCAAAATTCACTCCATTTGGACGGATTTTAACCAGCAGATGCACAAATAACCCGAAATCGGTTGAAGATTTATATGGGAGCTATATCCAATATCCAAAACTTGGCAGAGGTATTTTTGGGCTGCATCTGATATCTGGTTCCAAATATCATTGGAACCAGATGCATATTACGAATGTGAGGGACTTAAATACCAAATCCGATGAAAAATATATAGCTATATCTGAACCGATTTTCACCAAATTTGATGTACTTACTTCCATACAGAATTTCGGCGGAAGTGCCAGAATTTACCCCATTTGAAGGGATATTAAACATCAGATCCACAATCAACCCGAAATCGGTTGAAGACTTATATGGGAGCTATATCCAAATCTGAACCGATCTTGATACAATTTTACAGAGGTGTTTCTGGTCTGCATCTGATACCCGGTACCAAATATCATTCTAATGGAGTGCATATTACGAATGTGAGAGACTTAAACACCAAATCTGATGAAACATATTAATGGGAGTTAAAGCTATATCTGAACCGATTTACACCATATTTGATGTACATGCTTCTAGACTGAATTCGGTCGGATGTGCCAAAATTCAGATCATTTGGATTTATGTTGGCCATTTGGTGCACAATTAACTTGAAATAGGTTGGAGCTATATCTAAATCTGATCCGGTTATCACCAATTTCAATAGGGTTCTTACTTTGGTACATAAAAATTGTTTGCAAAATTTCGTCTCAATCGGATAACAAAAGCATTTTCTTCACAAGAATACATGGACGGACGTACAGACATGCATAAATCGACTCAGAGAGTGATTCTATGAAGATCCTCAAAAGTAACTATGGGTATATCACGCTTCCTTCTCCCTGTTACAAACAAATGCACAAAGACATAATACTCTTACCACTATGTGCTGAATTCCTACTATGCACTCCACAACCGTGATTTGGTACCAGGTATAAGATGGAGCACAGAAATAGCTGTTTTAAATTTTATCGAAATCGGTTCAGATTTAGATATAGCTCCCATATATATGTTTTATCCGATTTGGTGTTTAAGCCTCTCACATTCGTAATATGCACTCCACAGCCCAGAAATAGCTGTTTGTAATTTTATCGAAATCGGTTCAGATTTGGATATAGCTCCCGTATATATCTTCATCCGATTTCGGGTTAATTGTGCACCAAATGGCCGATATAAGTCCAAATGGACTGAATTTTAGTACATCGGACCAAATTCAGCCTAGAAGCAAGTATATCAAATTTAGTGAAAATCGGTTCAGAAATAGATATAGCAACCATATATATGTTTCATCCGATTTAGTGTTTTAGTCCCTTACATTCGTAATATTCACTCCACAACCGTGATATTTGGTACCAGGTATTAGATGGAGCATAGGAATAGCTGTTTTAAATTTTATCGAAATCGGTTCAGATTTGGATATAGCTCCCATATATATCTTCATCCGATTTCGGGTGATTGACCACCAAATGGCCGTAATAGCATCAATTTTGGCAAATCCGACCGAAACCAGCTTAGAAGCAAGTACACCAATTTTAGTAAAAATCGGTTTAGATATAGTTATAGCTCCCATATATATCTTTCATCCGATTTGGAATGATATTTGGTACCAGATATCAGATAAAGCCCAAAAATAGTTGATTTTAATTTTATTAAAATCTGTTTCGATTTGGATATGCCTCACATATATATCTTCATCCGATTTCGTGTTAATTGTGCATCAAATGGTCAATATCAGCCCAAATCACCTGCATTTTCGTACATAAGACCGAATTCAGTCTAGAAGATAATACGTCAAATTTGGAGAAACCCGGTTCAGAGAGCACGATAGAATTAGATAGATTTCGATTTTGTACCAAAGAGCTCTGAAATGCCCTGTATAAACCTTTTTACGAGAGATCTACTAAATATGCATAGTGGTGTAGCGTATCATATAGTCGGCCCCGCCCGACTTTTGAGCTTTCCTTACTGGTTTCTTTATGATATCGAAAAAATACTGCTAGCAGTAATATGAAGGTTCTGGAACACTTTTTATAGAAATGTTGTTGTTTATTATCCCCTTTTTTTTCTTATATGTCTTATTATCTTAACATAAAAACTTTTTCTTTGTATCTCTTTCTGTCCAAAAGACACCTAATTACTTTTGTGTAGGTGTGGAGGAAAATAGGACTACTCCACTTTTAGCCTTTTTGGCCACATTTTGAGATTTCAAAGAAATTCGCTTACTTTGGTTGTTAACTTGCCTTTGATGCTAGTCAGTCAGTCAACCAGCCAGCCGACTGCCTCCCTGCAGATTGACAAAGCCTAAGTGCTTTGGGCCACAAAAACGTTGCACATTGATTGCCAAAAAAAAAAAAAAACAAAAACAGAATTCAAAACGAAACAAGTGGAAGGAAGAGTGGGAGTAATGAAATCACCTTCAAAGAGTCCTTCGTATTTGGGTTATGACTTTTGTGTGAGTGAGAGCGTGTTTGTGTCAGAGATCTCTCGTTGAGTTCTCGTTTCGACAACGACAACAACAACATAAAATAAACTTTTTAACCAATTTATCTTTGTCCTTTGTTTTCTTTTCATATTTCACTTTGTTGTGGAAACAGTTGTAAAAGAATAAATGGTTTCTTTTGCTGTTTTTGGGTAAACAATTATTGGATGAAAAAAAAAAGATTCAACTTCATAGAGGCCATAAACAAAGCAGCAAGGGTGCAGAACCCTCGCTTGATGGAGGAAGGGAGATAGAGTAGTCAGGGAAATGGAACATTGCTCTTTGAAGAATTGTAGTGTGTCTTTGTCACAAAGTCACAGAAACAAGTGGAAACATCAAAATAACATCAAAAAGTACATGTACATATACAAATACACATCACTTACACACGCACACACTTTCAAACACACCCACACAAAAGGAAAGTGGGAAATGTACGCTAACCAACCAAAGAATATGAAAAAAAAAACTGTAAAGTCAACAACAAAGATTTTTGCATATTCAAGTGAACGTTTTTTTTTTTGCAGAATAACCGAACATTAATGCCAGAGATGGGAAACACTAAGGCAAACATCCTGCAATACAAAATTATATGCAGCTATGGTAACTGC